TGGGAGAGAGAGGGTGAGTGGAGGACAGGTGGCGGAAGAGAGAGAGAGAGAGAGAGAGAGAGAGAGAGAGAGAGAGAGAGAGAGAGAGAGAGAGAGAGAGAGAGAGAGAGAGAGAGAGAGAGAGAGAGAGAGAGAGAGAGAGAGAGAGAGAGAGACGTGAGATCATTTTTATAGTGACAAGTGTCACGGAAACTGGGCCCCCACAATGGCCACTTGGCCCACCAACTTGACTAAAATCTGATTACAAATAATTGCAATTATAACTGGATTAAGGACTTGATTAATGGATTAAAACTGAATTAAATGAAACTTAAGATGATTAAAGCTAATTAACCTCAAACGGAAATGGATTAACATCTGACTACAATTAACTGCTAATTAATATTTTAATTAAAATCAGTTAAACTAAAGACCACTCAAAATCCTAATTAAAGTGATTAATATCCTAATTAACATCGAATTAAAGAAAATCTTATGAGAAAATCTAATAAAAAATCTAATAAACTCTATTAATATTCTAAAAATATAAAATGATTCTAAACATTTAATATTCTAATATTCTAAATAAGAGTTTTAAAACCTATTAAATTCTAAAAAAAGAGTTATATTAATCTAAAAAAATAAATTAAAATCTATTAACTCTAAAACCTATTATATTCTAACAATTCAATTAATATCTAAAAAAAAGAATTAAACCTATTAAAAATAGAAAAAACTATTAATATTCTAGAAAAACAATTAACCTATTTAAAATCTATTTAAAATCTATTTCCTAATATTAAAAATTAAGGGAAAAAACTAGAAAATGAAATGAAAAATCAATTAAATCGATTAAAAAAGATGCGAGAATATAGCGAAATAAACGGTAAAAACCGGACACCAAAATATCCTCAAAAATAACAGCGCAGAGCTGAAAACACCGGGAGGGTCACAACTCCCAAAATAAATCTTTGTACTCGAACTGGTATGAAATGCCTGAAACGCCAGGAGAAGGTTGTAATCCCGATAAAGTCAATCTGACCGAAAAATGCAATGAATGCGATATGCGGATGCAAAAATGCAAAAATAAGTCGAAACATAAGCCAAATACAAGAATTGGTTGATCAAATTTTGGGGTGCAACACATATCATCATATATATATATATATATATATATATATATATATATATATATATATATATATATATATATATATATATATATATATATATATATATATATATATATATATATATATATATATATATATATATATATATATATATATATATATATATATACAATCATAGAATACACATATTCCACATTCTCACCATAATTCATCACAATTCACTCATATACATCACAATGTATATATACATATATGGATATCACACCAAGCATATTTATCATGCATACATCCACAATTCTCATCATTCCACATAAACATACACATTTATGTTTATTCACCAATGCACCATTATAATGATGATAAATGCAACTTATAGAGGCCAACTCGCGACTCTATGCAAATGCAATGCGATACCGACTCAATCGTCTCAAGTTCACTCAGGAACTTATTGGAACCATCGCTCGTTACCAATGTAACTCCCCTTCGGGCATACGATGTTCACCCATTGCTCACACCCCACATGGGCACACAATGTTTATGGATTGCTCACACCCCATACGGGTACACAATCATTTGTAATTCATCGGTCACACCCCACATGGGCACACGATGATATTTACCCATTGCTCACACTCCACATGGACATACAATGTTTATGGATTGCTCACACCCCATATGGGCACACAATCGTTCATCAGATTCTCCTAGGAATCACACAGCACAAGAATGCACATCATGATACTTCACGTGCAAAATGACTCATGACATTCTTGACATGCATACATATTAATATACTCATGCATTCATCTCATACCATCACATATAAGGTATGCACATTCACATCAATCTCATCATGCAATTACGTTTAATTTAAATCATGCATTCATTTGCCAAAAGGCCACAATTCACAATCTAGGATTCACGCCATACGGCTACCCACAGCATATCATATAACAACACACAAACTATGCATTCAGAAGAGGGTCAATCATATTCGAATCGAACAATCAACGTTGGATGGAAACCAAAGAAATAAGAATGTTGTCACGCTCGCTACACCATTCGCCTAGCGAAGTCATAGCGAATCGCTCGCTACTGCTCGCCTAGCAAACAAACTCGCGAAGGCTGTCAGAAAGCTACTAGAAGTGTTCGCTACTGGCTCGCTGGGGCCTCGCCTAGCGAATACTTTGCTACTTCCCTCGCCTGAGCGAATAAGGGTTATTTTGGTTCTGTCCAAGTCTGGGAATGTTCGCTGGCACCTCGCTGGATGCTCGCTTAGCGAACAACTCGCTACCACACTCGCTAGATACTCGCCTAGCGAATACGTCGTTACTCAAAACCCAAACTGTCCAAAAATCATCAGAAGTTCTCAAATCACCAATTTAAACCAAACCAGTTCCAATAGTCTTAGCCCAACATTCCTCGACTAAACTACACAATTAATTCTGGATTCTAACCGTTAAAACATTGATTCCTATCGATTAAGCCATTCCGACCTAAAATGAAAAATGAGGAAAAACATCTAAACAATCCAAACAAACACATACATAATCATACACATTGATAAGATAATAAGATTTCACACCTTTACCCAATTAAATCGAAAGCTAGAAGTTGTTCTTGATGATTCCAAGCTTTTTTCTCTCTTTTTCCTCTTTTCTCTTCTTCCTCTTTCTTTCTGTCCTTTTTCTTCTTTTCTTTCTATTCTTTTCTTTTCTCTCTACTTTCTCTTTTATATCTTCTACTCTAATTCTTTCTACCATTTTACTCTCAAAATATCTACTAATTCATTTTCTTACAAAATATCTAACTTAACATTAATTAAGATATATCTAAAATACTCTCCAACTTAATTTCCCCGAAAACTCTCAGAAATGATAAAATATCACAATATGCAAACATAACATATTAACACACATATTCCACAAATAAAATAATAATCAGCCAAATAAAATAAAAGACTCAACAAAATGGGAAATCAGAATCGGGGCGTTACATTATCATCCTCCACGAGCTGGTGAGGGGCAACTATATACTCGTCGGGAGGGAGGATAAAGTGAGCCCCGCTCCAGCAAAAGGGAAAAGTAAAAAGTCTTTGGGCGATGTAAACATGAAAATTGCTCGCTTTTGAACAAGGAACATGATGGTGGTGTTTAATTTCATTTACTTTAAGTGTAGTGTAAGATATCATGTGATGAATAGATGAACCCTAACTTTGTAAAAACTAATGTAAAATACCATACACGAGGTTAATGATCTATGAGCATCCAGAAACATGTTGGTAACTTGAAATAACATTTATGATGCATGATTCAATGAGTTTGAAAAGTTCAGGCTTACCTTTCAAGAGGAATTCGAATCCTCAATTGTAGGTGTTACAAAAGTGTTTTAATGATTTGAACAGCTTCCCTGGACCCCAAAGAGTGTGTTGATGTGATTGGAATGGATTGAAACCTTCTAGATTGATGTGCTCGAATCCAACTGCAACTTGCTTTGGATGAACTATGATCTTGATGAATTTGATGCTACATATGATATTTAAGTGTTTGTATCACTTATACATGATGTATGTGAGGTGTTTGGATCATTGGTTTGGACTGAATTGCTCAGGAATAAATAATTCTATTTTTCACTTTTGAAACTTAGAACTTTGGAATGAAAGAGGGAAATGAGAGAAAACAAGTGAGATGTTGTTTTAGTGTGTTTAGAATGACCAAAAATGCCTTCTATTTATAGGAGAATAATTTTGTTTTGGGAGGAATAATGTTGGATGAGGGATCACTCTATTGTCCAATGGATTTTGTCATGTAGCATGACTTGAAGTCTAAGGTACTATAAGTCTACTCTAGCATAGCTAGAACCTTGATTCTAATCAATTTTGCAGGTTTGAACATTCATGGTTTTGGACTGAGTCTGAACTTGTATGACTTGATCCATACCAATTCAAAGCATCACATTAATGTATGAGAATAAAACTTAAGTTCTCACATTTGCCATTATGGTTTCCATATGCTTAGAGATAAATCTTTGACTTAGGGCCCAAGTTTGCAGGTTCTTCATGGTTGACTAAGATTCTTGTTGAATTAGATGAGGACCAGTCTTGCATAGTCACCAAATTTGGACTCAAAAATCGTGTGCTACAAGTAATGCACAAAATCTATCGTGAAAATCAGCTTGATCATGTCATGTTGTGAGGCTCATAACTTCTTGCTCAAGTTCAATCAAGGGATGTTCTTGTACTTTTTAGAAAGTTGATATATCCTACTTTAACTTTGATGTTTGCATTTGGTCTTGAATCTTCTTGTATCATGGTGACAAATGTCTTCAAAGTTGGCCAAAACATGAAACGGATTCTGCCTAAAAAAATTAAGTGTCAAAGTTCAAAATATCTTGAAACTCTAACTTCATGACCTTATATCTCAAAATCTATGCATTTTTTAGAGATGGTTCAGCCTAGAAATATTTTTTTATGGAAGAAGATCTATTATTTTAGCTTTGGAGTGCAAAAATGGTTGCTTGAGTCACAATTTATGGCCTTGTAAAGTTAGGTAAAAATCATGTTTTTCCGTAACTTAGTGAAATTTTCAATTATTTCAATTTTGCTTCTTTTGAAAGTAACCTTGATTTCTTGATCAATACTTGTTTAAATGAAACAATGGATCATATTTTCTTGTATAATGGCTTATGATGAACAATTTTTCTCAAAAAGTCAAACTTTGACTTTGTGTATCAGATGAATTTTGTGCAGGGAAACCCTAATTCTTTGTGGGCAAGCATGAAAAGAATGGGATCAAGGAATTGGGAACACTTTCAAATCTTCATGGATCACTTGTTATTAGTAAATTGGAGAATGTTACCAACAACTTGGAAGCATCAAAGGCGCATATCATGGATAAGAAGTACCTTGATGAATTATCGTTTAAATGGTCCGAAGACGCAAAGGACCATTTTAAAAATTCACAAAGTGAGATGGATATTCTTGGCAAGCTACAGCCTTGTAAGATCTTGAAAAGGCTAATTATAGATGGATACATGGGTACGAGATTTCCAAAATGGGTTGGAGACCCTTCCTACCACAACTTGACCGAGTTATCCTTGTATCGTTGTCATAATTGTTGCATCCTTCCACCACTTGGACAATTACGCTCTCTCAAGGACTTGGAAATCCGTGCAATGAGTATGCTGGAGACTATTGGATCTGAATATGGTGATTCCTTTTCAGGAATCCTCTTTCCCTCCCTTGAACGTCTGGAGTTTCGTGAGATGCCATGTTGGGAAGTGTGGCATCATTCTCATGATTCAGATGTTTCATTTCCTGTATTAAAATCTCTTGCGATTATTGATTGTCCTAGATTGCATGGAGGTTTCCCATCTCATCTTCCTGTTGTGGAAACAATTAAGATTGAACGTTGCAACCAAGTTGACTCTTCTCTCCCAAGGGCTCCTGCCATACGCAAGTTAGATATAATTGAAAGCAATAAAGTAGCCTTGCATGAACTACCCATATCATTGGAAGAATTAAGAATTCAAGGAAGGGAAGTGACTCAGTCCGTCTTTGAAGCCATTGCCATCAGCCTAACATCTCTTCAAATTTTAGAAATCAGAGACTGTTCATCTGCAATATCCTTTCCGGGAGATTGTTTACCCCTATCCTTAAAGACGCTGTCCATCACAAATTCTAGTAATCTAAAATTTCCAAAGCAAAACCACCAACATGAGTCACTTCAGTCTTTGAGGATAGATGGAAGTTGTGATTCTCTCACAACCCTCCCACTGGATATCCTTCCAAACCTCATTTATCTTCGAATCCATAATTGTAGAAACATAGAATGCCTTTCAGCTTCGAAAATTCTTCCAAATCTCATTGATATTGAAATCAGAGCATGCCCTAAATTTGTATCATTCCCAAGAGAAGGATTGTCTGCACCCAACTTGACATGGTTGCTTGTCTCCAGCTGCCTTAATTTAAAGTCATTGCCTTGTCACATAAATACTCTTCTTCCAAAGTTAAAAGATATGTACATATATGATTGCCCAGAGATGGAAACATTTCCTGAAGGTGGTATGCCACCTAGCTTGAGATCACTTCATGTTGAAGATTGCAAGAAATTATTGAGGAACCCATCTCTATCTTTCTTTGACATGCTTTCCTCTCTTTCAATTGGAGATCTATATGATGCTGTTGAGTCCTTTCCTAACAATGGTTTTGCATTGCTGCCTCCCTCCCTTACCAATCTACATCTTTCGAGAATGTATTGTTTGCACACGTTGGACTGCAGAGGGCTTCTCCACCTGAAGTCTCTCAAACAATTAACAATTGGATCTTGCCCAAAGCTGGAGAATATGGCGGGAGAGAGACTGCCTGCATCTCTAATAGAACTTTATATTAATCGTTGTCCTCTGTTGGGAGAACGATCCCTCAAAAAACATTCTCAAATTTGGCCCAAAATTTCACACATCCAATACATTAACGTTGACAGCAAATGGATTTATGGAGCTCAAACTTGAATTTTAAACAGGTAATTCAATTTATACTTATAATTCAAATTTTTTACAACCTTGTGCTGGATTATAAATAGTTGGCCGCCGCTTATAACTGTGTTTTCTTACTTCATATATTGAAATCAGAATCATGAGTGTTGTCATCATCACCGGAAAGGCGCCGTGGTTCATGTTCCGGCCAAGATTGTGCCGTGGAAGAGTGGTGGTGGTTGCACTTAAGGTGTTTGATTATTTGATGAGAAGGGAATTGGCTATAAAAAGAGTTTTGGAGGATGGTGATGAGAAATGTATGAGGGAGTATGGGCTTTTTGGAACCAAAAGGGGTGATACTATTTTCACACAATGTTGGACTTCTGTTTCTGTTAAAATTAGGTATGTTTATAGATTTCCATTCTTCAATGCAAGGTTTTATGCTTTCTCACTTTCAAGATTTCAATCGGTATAGCTGTTGCGACGCTGATTATGGTTGTTGTAGTGAATTAACCACACAATGGCTAATATTTTAGTACTTTGTGCAGGGGGCTTGTTATTCTTATGCATGGTCTTAATGAACACAGTGGTAGATATAGTAATTGTTTATCATTGAGCTGTGTTAGCTTTTGTTGAATGATGATTATCGTTAGTTCTGCCACCAAAAAGTTTAATGATTGAATTTCTATATTTGGATGATAAAAATGAAGAACATGAAGAACTTTTACTCGTTGATTATGTCACTAATCTTTTTACTCATTGATTTTCTAGACTTTGATTTTTTTTAAATATTTAGATTTTATGATATTGAAATTTTTTGTTATATGCAGATTTTATGATTTTGTTAGTCTTTATAATTAATCACTTTCACTTACGTGTGATATTTATTTATTTTAATAAAATTATTTTTGCATATAAAAATCATTTTTTTGATAATTTATTTATTTTAATTTTTAACTTATACTCAAAAAAATTATTTATTTATTCTTTAAAATAATTAATTAAAAATAGAGTTAAATATATGTTATCCCTTCTAATGTATCCCTGAACTTTAATTATTTTTCCAATTTTTTTAAATAATTTTTTTCTTTCAACAGCAACCTAATATTTCAAATTTATTATGGATAGTGCGGAAAAGGTATATAAACACTAATATTTGCTAACCCATATTTGATGTGGGATTCTATTGCTTGTGAAAGAAAAAATCTGCTGAACCTAAGTATTTCAACAACACAATACATGCATGCATACATATACAGTAAGAACAATTATTCTAATAGCTTTTTGGTGGTGTATAGTCAAATAGATGATGGTAAGATAATGGAAAAACAATGTCAAGGGCTTCTACAAATTAATTATGTATTATCCTTTGAATGTTCAATGGAAGCATCTGCAGGTTATTCTTAAATCTTTCATATTGTGATTCTGGTACTAATGCAAAGGTTATGTTCAACCCTCAGTATTTTAAAATGTGTGGTATCGAGACGATAAAAAGATGCAAAGGTTATGTTCAACCCACATCTCTTTCAAGGTATGTGATTCATAAGACAACTAATTAATCAAAACTTGGTTTGAAAATGTGTGGTATCGAGACAATAAGAAAATTATTCCTGCTATATTATTAACAAACATAATCTACAGAAAATTATCAAACATTAAATCAAAGACACTATCATTCAAATATATGAAGTTATCATTCAAAGTGCATGTTTCATAAGTGCATGTTTCATATTGAAGACAACAAAAACTCCTGCATGTTGAAGACAACAAAGACACATTCATTTTTTAATAATAAAATTTAAATGCCCTAACTGACATAAAGTTACTCCAACTATAAGGTGTTTCATCATCATCATCATAATCGAAGATAAATCTCCTCCTTATTCTTCTTCTTGGTCTTCTTATCCTGATAGATCTCCTAGGTCTCAAAGATCCTCTTTCAACTACTGCTTGATTCTGAGAAGAGTTTTGCATAGCCACCGCCTCTTGGACTTGGACAGCTTCTTGGACCTAGACAACTTGTTAGACCTGTACAGCTTCTTGGACCTAGACACCTTGTTGGACCTCTACAGCTTTTTGGATCTGAACAACATTGTTGGACCTCATTTTGATTATTCCTCTTCAATGATTCTTTTTGTGTGTTGGTAAGAAGAGGAATACCGTTTTTATAATAGTGATAGGGATTTGCTTCTTTAATCCCTATCACTATTGCAGGTAAGTCCTTAGCTCTGGCTGGCCCTCTGTCTCCCTTAGGAACTAACTACTCAACCCTTAGTGATTTTTTCCCTTCTTATCGCAAAACTAAACCTCTAGGGGAAAAGGATTCTACGAAAGTACCTACTGAAGGTCCAGATAGCTTGGTTTTACACCATGTGGACCTCAAGTACCTCAATGATGGATCCAGGTTATTCAGAGCTACTCCTTAATTCAAGGCTTCTGATCTCTACCTGAACTGGCTGACCAAAGTGGAAAAGGTCAAAGCAAACGATTAGAAGGAAACCGACATTTATGATTTAATCATGATGTTGAAAGCAGGTCCTACCTACTGCCCTATTATGTTGGCCTCCTCCCTATACTTATGAGATAATACCCACTACACTTTCCATCTTCCTTGTGGGATGATGACGCCTACTCTCTTCGACCTAGTCGCTATCACATGGCTAAAACCTTATGTGTTGGTTTATGATCCTAAAGTGGATTTCCAGGACTCTATAGGATTTTCGACCACCAAGCATGCATACACCCATTTCATCAATCATTACCACAACAAGCAAACAACAACCGTCGATGATCAGGAATATATAGTCTTTCTAGCTATGTGGTTGTTGTAACGCCCATTTTAATTATTTTTGGTTTCTGTGATTATTTGATTTGCGGTTGTATTTTGAGAATTATCGTGGAAGGTCAAGAACTCATAATATTAATAAATTGTGATAAAATGTGATAATTGATAGTAATGTAAAAATTATTATTAATTATTATCATTATTATTGCTAATATTAATATAAATGAGAAAATGTTATTAATTGGATTTTTGGAATAAAATTATTTTGAGGAATTATTATTAAAATGAGTTATTCGGATTAATAAGGGAATTATTGGAATTGAAGGCATCATTGGAAATTGGAAAGAAGAGGAGAACACACGTACGGTGAAGAACACGGTTGAGCAAGAGGAGAGCTACACGATCAAGAACAGCAACTTAGCAAGCGGATTTCGTGTGGATTGAGGAGCTTGTTCATCATCAAAGCTTGATTTGAGGTAAGGGGGGATAATCGTTTAAATTTGGTAAATGCATGATTAATCGGTAGAAAGGGGGAAATCCCTAATCCCCATAGATTTCTTGATGTTTGATGTCGACTGCGTGCTGTTATTGATGTGAATGTTGTGTTGTTTGATGATTAATTTGTTTGCATGTGCTGGGAATATTGGGTTGAATGAATTTGGTTTTTTTGAGTAGTTTCGGAGTTCTGCCGAAAGTCGGTAACTTGAGCAGATGATGTGTTTTAGTGGATAGAATCAGGAATAGACCCGTAGCTCAATTGTAGTATGTTGGTAGTTGTGAGTTCTGATTTAATCTGGCGGAATCGGGAGTGGATGATGATTCTGGTGCGCATAATTTTTCTGAGTACGCAGGTATTCGCTGGGCGAATAAGGGGCGAGCCTTCGCCAGGCTTCGCCGGGAGAACTAGCCAGCGAGTGCTGGCAGAAGCTTCTGTCTGGCTTCACCAGAGGTTTCGCCAGGCGAATGGCAGCGAGTGTTCGCTGCGGGGCTTCGTCGGGCGAATGCGCCAGCGAGCCCGACAGCAGTTTGTGTTTTTGCTGCTGATTTCGTGTTGTTCCCTTGTGAACTTAGACCCTCGTTAGTCATGTGCGATGAAAGGCTTGCTGGAGAGCTGAGGCAAGCGTATGTTGGAGGTTGTAGGGCTGTTTGGCCGGCGTTTACCGCAAGTGGCATAATCGGTAGGTTATGCGTTAAGTATGAACCGGTGTGGATGTGTACGTGAGATGTGTGCACCGTGTGTGTGTGTGCTGCGTGTGAGATATGAGGATCAGTATGATCGTTGCACCTTAAATGCGTTGTGTTGGTGTGTTGTGGTGAGTGGATCCGTGAGGATCGGTACGCTTATTATGCGTTACATTTGTGTGCTGTTATGTGATGTATTTGGGTCAGTAGGACCGACATGCCTTGTGTGCATTGTATGTGATAAGTTGTGTGGTGAGCGGATCCGTGGGATCGACGCACTTTGTGTGCTTGTTATGTATGTATTTTGTGATGGGAATGGATCTGTGGGATCGGTACGCCTTGTGCGTCGTGTATATGTTGTGTGAAGGGTGGATCAATAGGATCAGTGTGCACTTGGTGTGCTAGATGTTTGATGCGTGTGAATATCGTTGTGTGCTCCCGTAGGGGAGGGTGATGGCCAGTTGTCCATCGACATTAATTGTTGTGCTCCCGTAGTGGAGGGTGATGTCCCAGTGACCATCGATATTGTTGGTGTGCTCCCGGTGAGGAGGGTGATGGCCATGTGTCCATCGACATTAATGTGTTGTGCTCCCGGTGAGGAGGGTGATGGCCATGTGTCCATCGATGTTGATGAGGTGCTCCCGTAGTGGAGGGTGATGGCCCAGTGACCATCGGTATTGTTAGTGTGCTCCTGGTGAGGAGGGTGATGGCCATGTGTCCATCGACATTAATGTGTTGTGCTCCCGGTGAGGAGGGTGATGGCCATGTGTCCATCGATGTTGATGAGGTGCTCCCGTAGTGGAGGGTGATGGCCAGGTGTCCATCATTATTGTTGTGGTGCTCCCATTGTGGAGGGTTGATGGCCAGTTGCCCATCAGTGTGGTGTGCTCCCTGAGTGGAGGGTTGATGGCCAAGTGACCATCGTTGATATGTGCTCCTGTGTGGAGGGTTGATGGCCAGGTGTCCATCGTGATTGTGAGTCGGTACCATATGTTAAGAGTTGTGTGAGTGCATTTGTTGAGTGATTGCATATTGTGGTTGATGGTGGGATTGTGAGTCCGAATGATATATATATGAAATAGTATTATGATTGATTTCTGCCTTTTATTTCATGTACTATTATGCCATTATTATTTGATCGTGATTCTCACCCCTTTGTTACTGTTGTGGTCTGTGCTTCTTCGGAAGTACAGACAATCCAGGTGTTTAGCTAGTTAGATTGTGGTTTCTCCGTAGGATTGCTCTGATACGTAAAACCGGAGCGTTTTTGGGAGTATTGTTGTGTATTTTTGGTTATATGTGTGCCCCGTGGCGTATCTGATACTTTTGTGAGATATTTGGTGATGTTCGGTGACGATGTTATGTATTTTGGGGCAGATGGCCGTTATTGTATATATGATGATGATGATGATGGATATGGATGATATATGTATATGATATTTTGTGTTATGGCAGACCATATCTTCCTCCGCTGTAATTTTATTGAAAAATTCAGTTAAATTATTTGGACAAATATTTGTGGAAATTTTGATGTGTATTGTGGCATCCCGTTTGGGAGAGAAACTCTGATATGTGTTTTATTTAATTGTTTTATTTTATTTTGGGAACGGGGTGTTACAGTTGTCTCGTTGTGTCTTTTGTACAAAATCTCTGCAGGTAGCGAGGAAGT